AGATAAAAATAGCGTATTAAGCGAAATGTCGCTTAAACAAAATATCCTTTCACCCCTCGATATACTTCCGCGTTTCAGTAAGTTATATTATATAACATAACAATGATTAGCAACAAATTCTCTTCAACTAGTAACGGAGCTCTTGTAGGCCGAACACAGAACCATTTAAACGTTTTAGTATGTATTTACCACGACTGTGTGCATTGCCTAAAATATTCCGACAGGGGATTCCCCGACTATTAGATCACATAATGCTGACGAGAATCTCGTTAAAACTTGTTTCTCTGTTAGTCGGTACGTTTTTAAGACATTACTTTTTTGTTTGCCTAAAACAAGTTAAGTTTTCTTAAGCTAATCTTTGATGCCTAGAACGTTTCGAAGTCGTATATTGAGGCAATTCCCGCATAAGAACAACGTACAAGTAACATTACTTATGAAATTCAAACATTATTCACACTTCACACTAGTAAAGTGATCGGAAATCCTTCTTTTTTTTTAACGCTGGGAAATCCATTTACGAGTACCCGGTCCGGGGGGTAACGAACCGGGTTATGTCGGACTCCGGCGCCTCCTGAGAGGAAGAGGGGGAGTACCGTACCAACAGTACCGCAGTGCGCGCCAAAAGTCCGCCTTTGCCGGTACCCGTCCTGATGATAAGACGGGATTTCATCTCCGGGAAAATCCCGAAGGACGTCATCTCGGGATACACACCGTGGGCGAGTCGAGTACCGGGGGCCCCGGACCCGCCACCTGATAGTCCCTACGGGGGCTGAGCGGGAGCTTCACGACCGTGCCGCCCACCCCACCTTCTGCGCTCAGGTGCTGAAGAGGGATCCCACTCCCTTTCGCGCTCCTCAGCCCTCACGGGACGCCATTACCAGGTCACAAAACCTGGCCATGGCCTCCCACGAGCTCTAATCCTCTAACATGCGGGCGACGACAGCCCGCAGGGAGAGGTCTCTCCCGAACACTACGACGAGATCTCGCCGCGAGTGCTCCCAACGCGGGCACGTTTCGAGCTGTGCGTCATCGTCCGGATGCCCGTACTGGTAGCAACCGGGATGTGGTTCTCTCCTGCAGACCTTCCACAGGTACCTCCCGAAACAGCCATGTCCTGAGAGGACCTGCGTAAGGTGAAAGGAGAGTACGCCGTGACGCCGATCCGACCATGCCTCCAGCACGGGCACCAGGACCTCAAGGGTGCGCCGGCGGATGGCCTAGTTCCTTCAGCAATCGCTCCCTCCACTTAGCGTACGCTACATGACGCGCAGCACGCTTCCATCGACCGACAGCCGACGGGCCGGGCGACCGTCCCCGACTCAAGGCCTGTGCCCTACGCCGATATACCGCAACCAAGATTTCGGCCTCGAGGACCCAGGGTAGGGATCCGGCGAGGGCGCAGGCCACATCCTGAGAGATGGTGCGGTACCCCCTGATGACCCTCACCGTGAGCGCCCGCTGAGCTCTGAGCAGCAGAGCCGCGTTTTGCGCGGAGAGTGCGGGCGACCACACGGGAGCACCGTACAGGGCCATACTGCGCACCACCCCAAGGTACAGTCGCCGGGTACCGACGCTGCATCCTCCGACGTTGGGAAGAAGACGAGTCAGCGCACCCGCCGCTCCCATGAACCTCGGAGCCAGCGCTTTAAAATGGTGGTCGAATCTCCATTTGCTGTCCAGCACGAGGCCCAAATACTTGAGCTTCGGCTGGACAGCAATGGTGACACCCCCGACTACGAGATTCGCGCCTTGAGGCGGCCCTTCCCGAGCTGAGTGGAAGCACACTGCTTCGGATTTTTGGAGGGCCACTTCGAGGCCGAGTCTCTTTATTCGACTTACCACAGTTGCAACTGCAGCCACAACCAGGACGGCCACTGACCGGTAGTCGTCTCCGCGAGCCGTCACCAGCGTGTCGTCAGCGTAGCAAACCACTTCGACGCCACGCGGGTAAGCCCGGCGGAGGACCCAGTCAAAGCCTATATCCCACAGGAGTGGACCCAGTACCGACCCCTTTGGAACCCCACGCAACACTGTTTTTCGTCCCCACCCACTCCGCTCGGGGAAGATCCTCGATAGATAATCCTCGATCAGGTTACGGAGACCGGTGGGAACACGGTGAAACCGTAATGACTCCACGATCGTGCTCCAGGGGATCGTGTTGAAGGCGTTGGCAATATCAATCGACACAGCCAACAGCACGACGCGGACGCGCAAGACCGCGTCCACGGTCGACCGACTTCTCTGGAAGCTATATTGGTTGGACGCGAGATCCGGCCCAATGTTCTCCAGGTGCGGAACAAGACGCCCGGCAACCACATGCTCAAGGAGCTCACCGGCCTCGTCCAACGCTACTATCGGGCGATACCCGGAGGGCTCGTCTCTAGGGCGACCGTCCTTCGGGATAAGCACCAGCCGACCCGTACGCCACGGCTCTAGGAACCTGCCTTCGCGGAGGCACCTGGTAAACAGCCTTCGAAGTGTAGGTCCCAAACCATCCTAAGTTAGAGCGAGAACCCATGTCCGACTCGACAGGCCGTCGGGGCCTGTGATCGGAAACCCTGCCAAATATAGGTATAGGTATCACACAATTGAAATTGACACTAATACCCTTTTTTTAACGTATATTTCTATAGCCTTGTGTTTAAAAATGTTTAGTCGTCCCTTACATGGCAAAATAATAAGACATTCCGTGCCTAAACTAAGCATTTCGCATAAGAGACGTAGCTGAAAAGTCAAAGAACCTCATACAGTTCGCGGGCCACGGGTTGCCGACCACTGCACTGGCAAACTATTGTCAATAATCTTAATTAATTACCTATTGTGTCACTACACAATTAGGGCAGTTAAATAATTAGAGTTTTAAAATAAACATAAAAATAGTTTTTCGGAACTATCGACACGCGGAATCGCCTAAAAAACAAGTTCACGAAAAATACGGCTTAAAAATAATAACAATATAAATACCCACGGGCTATTTGAATATCAAACGCGATGTCGTTCAGTTTAATAGTGTTCGCGTTCGTCAACATCACGTACAATGTAAAAGTTGGTTTGATCAATTGTAACGAGCAAATAAATATTTCTATGTTATTTTAACTTGACAAGTTTTGTTTACACCACAGCTCCATTGCTGCCACTACTACCGCACCGAATATAGTAGAATCGATTGGAATAATAGCTATTCTTTCATTTAATTTGAAACTCGTCTCTGGTAGAGAAGCTTACCGCGCCCCACGCGTTTCCTTATAAATCTGGTCAAATTTGACGACCAATGCAGAGGAATAATACAAGCCCGAGGATGCTGTGTTTGTGTTTTGACTAAAAACCAGAACATACTTACCGTACAAAATCATCCCGTCTCTCAAAACTGATTTGTAACCTATCTGCTGATGTCAAAGAGATACTCTATTGTTCTATGCTTTACGAATGGCCTCTTATTCATTTAAGATATTCGTTATCATAGACGAACAGACGAGTTTACAGCTCAGTTGATCTTAACTGCCACTGGGTCCCTTAGGCATCACAAAGTAAATGTCACCATCCACCTCATGTCTCAAACATAAGAGTCTAAGTCTCAATGGTCTAGTGTAACGGCTGTCCCACCCTTGTAATCCCGATCATCGTTCTCGTCGAACCCGTCACTTGCGACGAAGGGCTCGACGAGTAGGTAAATTAAGCCACAGACACAGCCCACCGAGTTTCTCTCCGGATCGTCTCAGTGGGTTGCGTTTCGGATCCAGTGGTAAATTCTGCGAAGCACGGCTCTTGCTAGGGTTGTGTTAGCAACGTCGTCAGGTTTGAGCTCCGTGAGATCACCTATCTACTAGTTAAGCTTACGCTGAAATAGCCTCTCAAGGCTATAAGGTTAGGTAGAAGAAAAAAAAACTTCAAATCGAATCGCATTACAGCTTCGCGGCAGAAACGGGGTGGTGGTACCTACCCACTATGATGCCATGTACGAAACCTAAACAACAAGTTTTTTTTCCAGAGGAATGTTCAGGCGAAAATGAGGAGTTTACCAACTGCACGAACCCATGTCCGCCGCGTACTTGCAATTCACTCGTCGCTCGTTTTGATTGTAGTAAGCCCAAACCCTGCGAAGAGGGATGCGCTTGCAAACCAGACTACTTGAAACTCGACGACAATTCGGCCTGTGTTAAGATTTGCGAATGTCCGCAAATGGCTAGCTCTCCTGACTGTCCAAAATTATAATGCAAAGTTAAATTAAAGATAATATGGATTTCAAAAACATTATTCTATATTTTTTCAAGTTAATTAAGAAATTATTCTCATATAAAAGTGCTCTAAAATATTGTACAACTCATCATAGGTAAACAAAAATATTTATTTGTTATTAAATTGACAAATTATTATTAGATATTATTTTTTCATTGTATTTCATGAATTTCTTCAATATCAGTTATAAAATCCTTATCGTTTAATAACGAAGCCTTAATAAACCTTAATAAAATCAAAACCTGTTTATGATAGTTACATAATTATAGGGTGAACGAGCACACGGCCTATCTGATGTTAAAGGGTTACCAGAGCCCATTGACATCTACAACGTAAACGCCGCCACTCACCTTGAGATATGAATTCTAAAAGGCTTATTACATTTGGCTGAATTTAGTCGACTGAATTCAGGAGCAAATTTAGAAGCTTCTGATTACACTGTTCTAAATTCAGTTACTGAACCAATTGTCAGTTTCAACGCGACGAAGTAGGACGGTCGTGTGCGTAAGAGGATCTACAACGTAAATGCCGCCGCGCCGCTGCTCACCTTGAGATACGAGTTCTAAGGTCTCAGGTTACTATTGTTGATCGAAGGGTCTCAGTATAGAACGGCTGCCCCGCCCTTGAAACCGAAACGCATTACTGCTTCACGGCAGAAATAGGTAGAGTGGTGGTACCTACCCGCGTGGACTCACAAAGACATCCTACCATCAGTATTTACGAAAATTATAATTTTGCGGGTTTAATTTTTATTACACGAGGTTATTCCTTCACCGTATGAAGAAGTAAACCGTGAACATCTGTTAAGTTTGTATTTCATTAGAAAAATTGTTACCTATCTGTGGGATACGATGCGAATGCCCGGGCGTGTTTTCATTCGGGCCACGACGACTTCAAATTAATAAAATAACAAAAAGAAATGTTTTCTTCTTTATTCCTGTCGGAGAGCACACTGCTTAAAGCTCACTTAGTGTTATGTAGATATTAGAGCCCGTAGAAGTGACTTATGAAAAAATAGTGATGACCTTCGAAGATAAGAAATACTTAGATGATGATTTACAGAAATTACGGATTGAACACCGTCACTTACAAACAGATACGACAGTAACCGGTAGGACGGTGGTAGCTGCCCGTATAAAAAAATACATTTAACGCAGAATAGTCAATAAACAGTAACGTCATTCAAACTAAACTATATAGTTTGCAAACTCTGGTAACAACATAAGAAAAAAAATATATAAAAGCGAGTAGTAACGCTAGTTTTTGATCAGAATTCAACTTTAGTTCGCAAAATGAAGACGCGAGTTGTGGTTTTATTGTTCTGTTGTGTTTATTATGTGTACAGCTACGGTACGTTCTCATTATTATCTATTCATATTTTATATACATTTTATTTAAATGAATTTATTGTGTACTGCTATTATTGTTTTACATGCAAACATTATTGGCCGGGTGCTTAAATAGCAATATGTATTGCACCCATTTGACTTCGAACGTGACGTGAAATTTTAAATAATATATTTATTTTTCTATTTAGACTGAAACCGCTTCGTGGCAAACGGGTACACATGCCCTACCATTAAAAGTGCCCTTACGATTACTTTACAATGGAAACGAGCAGGCAGCGCGATATTAATGGCGATACTATTATGGTAGGCAGCTACTTAGCTGTGCTCCTGGAATCGCTGACGACCATGAGCGACGGTAACCACTTACCATTAGGCGGACTGTATGCTCGTCTGCCTACAAGGGCAATAAAAAAAAACTTCAGAGGTGTCAAGGGACACCCGGATGGAACGAAGTTCCTTTCGATTAATTAGTGAAGGAATTGTAATTATTTTTTTTAAGTTATAATAATAAATTACGGCATTATGAAGAAGAAAAAAACAATACTATGAACTAAATTACTATTGTTGAAACGCTATCTCGAGAAACTGTACTCATTACGCGGACCAATCGGATACGAGCAATGTCACGCGATAAGCGCCTACACGTTGATTGGTCAGAATGACGGAACTAAAAAGTGTCGTGACAACTTTTCGTAAGAATTTTTTCCGTCTAGCCCCCTTTCACAACGCCCGATAAGGAACTTCGTTCCAAAACTTCGTTCCAAAAGAACCTAAAAATAGTCTTGTTAAGAATGCGTTCATTTAACATGTAACGATTGAGGAAAATTATAAAATCTTATTAAGCGGGGTTTTTCTTAGAGTAAGATTTCCTGTTTTTTAAAAGCGAAGACTTGGGTACAAGTTTTCCTCGATCTTCAATGAAATAAGTGTATGTATTAGAAATTGAATTTCTAGTCTTCCAAGAATTAATCCATACAATCGTAAACCAAAACTCTTCCTTTGTTCTCCTACTTATGCTGATAGCCTTGAGAGACTATTTCAGCTTCACCCTAACGTGTGCTCACGGGGCTCAAACCGGAGTGTTGCTAACACTGACCCTAGCAAGAGCAGTGCTTCGCAGAATCTACCACCGGATCGGAAACGCGACCCACTGAGAATATCCGTCGAGAAACTCTGTGTGTGGCTGTGTCTGAGGGTTAAGTTGATCGGTTACATTTGCATTTCGTTAAATAAATGTTCTATTGTTGTTACACAGGTGTTTTAAAATGTTTGCACTTCGAAACACACACGTTTTTTATTTTGTTTGGATTAATTTTATGTCCCAACATTGTCACAATTTCTGTTTATACTCGAATTTACAAGAGACATTATGTTTTGCATGATATTAGTTTGCCTCACTTTACAATAGTTTAGAAATACACGATGGTTTTTTTTAGTTTTTCCTCTTTTCGAGAGGGTTTCACGGTTAAACTTTCCTTTTGGGTCCGTCGATTTTTGGGCCGGGGTGGGGGTGGGAGGGTGGGAGGGGGTAAGGGTTTACTCCCCGCACCATTCCCACCCCGCGGAACCCCATGGTTATGAAAATATTCACGGTTAATGTTTTGAGGTTAGAATAGCACTATTTAGTCAACATAGGGTTAAAATTTCAATTATGGTCCATTATTTTTGAATTGTGGAGGGAGGGGTGTAAGGGATTACCACTGCACCATCACCAAGCCGCAGATCCCCATGGCTATGAAGATATCCTTATTTGAATGACTTAACTGTTTATCGATTATTTTGCGTTAAATGTATAATTTTTATTAAGGCATAATTTTCTGTTTGGCTCTTTCATTACGCAAGCAAATGGAATATAGCCCATACAGCCAAATAAAACCTGAAAGGATGATTGGGATATATTATAGCTCAAAACACTGAAAATAGTTGAGAGACTTGTAAGTACTAGTAAATACTTAAATTAAATAAGTACCTATTGTTTTTGCGCGTTTGATTTTTATTATATATTATTTATTTATGCTATTTCGTCATACTTCATCGAAATAACTCATGAACATTTATTAACATAAGAGCTTCTTTCGTTAAAATATTGAAGTCTACTTGCGGGATTTGAACATTGGCACCGGTGTATTAATATCGGTCGATATTCATGGGATGTTATCTTTTAAGCTACGACAACTTCAAAATAGTAAGCGCGGGTTGAACGCATGTTTGTAGATGATTCATGATGCTTGAATCCACGATGTCATCCGAAAAACTGTGCTACATCAAGATGTCTGTGTTTTAAAAACAAAATATTATGTACTTCCAAATGCCATTCGAGCTTACCCTGCAAAAATAAATAGCTATATGGACTGATAAAGTATTATAATATAAAGATTTACTTTTATACTTGACATTTATAATTACTTAATTATCATACTGATTACTTGCCAAATGAAAATTTGATTTTATAAGAATAAATATAAGTTGATTTTGTGATACGTTAAAAGTTAATAGATAGTTGATTTTAGAAGTTTTAATTAGTAAGATAATATGAATATATTATTATTATTTTACGGTATGACTGTTACCCGATTGTCTCAATAAGTGTTATAATAAAAAAATATTATTAACAACGTGTTTTATTACAGAAACCATTTACCTTATACATTTCCTAATACGATATTGGAATCATATACAATTCCGAGGAAATTTATACATTTCCTAGGATATCTATGCATTAAATAGTTTTTCAAACAATATTTTATACATTTCCTAAATAGTATCGGAATTGTACACATTTCCTAGGATTTGTATACAATTCCTTGATTTCATACATTTCCGGTAACATATAGATATATACCTAGTCAGGTCATAAGTATTGTCACACGGTAAAAACTTTTCTTTTAGAATGCTGGCCACAAAAAAGTTTATTGAATTCGAATTTCGAATTGTTCATGAAAATAAAAATGTATACTTTTAGAATTTTACTCATTTTTAAATATGGAGTGGACGCTTAAAGAAGACCGTGTTGCAGTTATTGCGTTGCATCGTTGCGGTTANCGGTTAAACTTTCCTTTTGGGTCCGTCGATTTTTGGGTCGGGGTGGGGGTTGGTAAGGGTTTACTCCCCGCACCATTCCCACCCCGCGGAACCCCATGGTTATGAAAATATTCACGGTTAATGTTTTGAGGTTAGAATAGCACTATTTAGTCAACATAGGGTTAAAATTTCAATTACGGTCCATTATTTTTGAATTGTGGAGGGAGGGGAGTAAGGGATTACCACTGCACCACTATGCACTGCAAACTGCAGATCCCCATGGCTATGAAGATATCCTTATTTGAATGACTTAACTGTTTATCGATTATTTTGCGTTAAATGTATAATTTTCTGTTTGGCTCTTTCATTACGCAAGCAAATGGAATATAGCCCATACAGCCAAATAAAACCTGAAAGGATGATTGGAATATATTATAGCTCAAAACACTGAAAATAATTGAGAGACTTGTAAATACTAGTAAATACTTAAATTAAATAAGTATTGTTTTTGCGCCTTTGATTTTTATTATATATTATTTATTTATGCTATTTCGTCATACTTCATCGAAATAACTCACGAACATTTATTAACATAAGAGCTTCTTTCGTTAAAATATTGAAGTCTACTGCGGGATTTGAACATTGGCACCGGTGTATTAATATCGGTCGATATTCGTGGGATGTTATCTTTTAAGCTACGACGACTTCAAAATAGTAAGCGCGGGTTGAACGCATGTTTGTAGATGATTCATGATGCTTGAATCCACGATGTCATCCGCGCAGCTGAGGATAGGCAGGGCTGGCGCAGGATGATCCAGGAGAAAGTTATTAGAAGAGGCCACGAACCTCATCAATATGGATTATTGACGCAAGGAGGAGGAATTCATTTATATTTTAGACTAATAGAATAAATATTTGTTATTTGCGTAAAAATGGCTACCTCTACCACACTAGAAATCAATTTAGATTGAATTGTTTACTGTTTATTTGTTAGTTCCATTGTACGGTTTTTCTTAGCAAGTGTATAAATATTTTGTAATGAACTTTGTGTTACAGTAGGTAGCATCTCTGACTATTGGGCTGGAGGGTCGATTCTCACATCGAGCATACTATAATGTAACTCTGTGTTTTTTGTATATATATATACGTATGTATATCAGTCTCTGGTTCCAATATTACAGACAAAATTAGTTTGGGGCCAGACGATAGTGTATGATTTATATCCGGTCAGTTACATGATCATTTTTTAAATGATTTACTGACATTTTAATATAACTAAAATCAAAGCAGAGCAGAGCAGGCTTGTGTTCTTTGGTAAATATTAAAATAACAGTCTTTAACGATTAACTTAGCAAACATTATTGAATTAAGTACTTTACTATTTTAGTACCGAGTTGCACACGGCCCCACGAGAAACATGCCTTCGTGATGGATTGTCCGCCCGAACGGTCGTGCAAAAACAGAGGGATCGAGTTCAGTTGTCTCGCCGACCAGAAACGTGAACAGAAATGCGTTTGTGACGAAGGCTACGTACGGAACGAAAGTAACGAATGTATAGAAGAGGAAAACTGTGGTATTTATTCCATTATTACTTTTTTTAAGAACCTTTTTTTATAATTTCAACCAACTTATGTTCGGTCTTCGGCTAAGCGAGCGTGTTTTTATTTTCATCTGAGATCCAAAAAGCGCATGCAATTTTAGGGC